CAAAATAAATTTAAGGTAGCTAGAAATTCAGAGTGCCAGTGCCAATTCAGTACATGTGATGCATCCCAGGGCCTTACACAAGCCACTTAACACATCCATGTAACACTTCAGCTCCCTCACCTGCAAATCAAAGCACAGCACAGCTGCCTTATATAAAAAAACCCAACCAAATGCAAAAATAAAAAAGAACAAGGTCAATAATATCCATACAAGCTGTACCATAGCACAGGGGTACTAAACAGGAGGCAATTCAGGCCTGATGCAAACCTTAGCAATATGAAAGAATTTAAAGTGAGGTCTAAGAGCATTGGACCTGGGACTCTGTGAATGCCTCCCCTCCTCTACACACAACAACACCAGGCCCAGCAGTCAAAGGGAAGAGAAGCAGCTTGTGCTGGCCCTGCTGGCAGACACAGAAGGGATGTTTGTGTACAATGCAGCCTGTGTGCCCTGTCTGTCTGTCTGTTTATCGTGGCATGAAAGGGCCTATTGCAAACCTGGCCTTCAGGAGTGCATCCCTGTCAGTCAGGAGCATGTGGGGAAGAACATGCCATGACACACCTGGTTTGAGTAAATCCTGCTGGATACTCTTTCCTTTCTCTGCTTTAGCCCATGATGATCAGAAAACACAGCAGCAGTCTGGCTGTGGCAGTGCCATGGCTACTGCCTATCACACCCACCAGTATTGCCTTGCTCTCCTGACAGCATCCATCTCTTATCTCTAATCTTTTTATCTACTTTTATGAAGAGCAAATACCAGCTTTTCATTCGTTGAACAACTAAACTTGAATTAATCCAGGATCTTTGAAAGTAAGTAGGTAGCCTAAGTGGGAAAAATACCTGAAGGTCAGATTCAACCAGGAAGATTCCTAAAGCAATAACAGCATCCCTGCGACGTTCATCCAACTGGAAAATCCCATGGAAATCCACTGGACACATACAGAGCAGCTTTTGTACCTGAAAAACAGCAGAGGGAAAGAACAGTGGAACAAGATTGGAAACCAAATTGGAGCTTGTTTGAAGTGCACAGTGGTCTCTCCACCTTCTGGAATACATTTGGCAACATTACCCTCCTTCAGTCGTCAATCTCACTGAGAACATCCAAGGGCCAAGAAAGAGTGGGGAATGACAGAAACCAGAAAAAGGCAGAAAAATCTCAAATAGATGTCAAATATTTTTACTACAATGTGGGTAAATTTAAAGGTTTTCTTCAACACTTGATCAAAGTGCTGAAGTATGATAAAGCCTTCATTCCACTACTTCACTTTCAGATGTGCAGGAAATGTGCAGTAGGCACTTTTATTATATTTACTTAATTTCTGTAAACAAAAAATAAGTGGATGGAGCTTTGATTACAGCTGCACCAATGTCTCCTACATACACAGCACTGAACAATTAACTGTTACCAACCTGTGTATGACTCCTGCTTAAATCCTTTCAACATAACAGATTAAGTATTCAGAATTCATATTTTCACACTATTCACCTATTACTTGACTCCATACTTAACAAACACACATTAAAAGAATACATCAAACCTCGCAAATACTTTGCTCTTCAACAGAATTGTTAACAAACGGGAATGCAACAAGCATGTTGTCTTTTTACAAATTTCCTTGATGTTAATATTCCTTAATGTTAATAAATACTATCTAGAAAGGCCCTTCATAATAAATAACCATGATTGACTCACCTATGTTTGAATGCCAAGTCATTTCCTATTTAGATAACTCTCTGAATATCCCACCTCAAAACTTCTAAAGCAAGAAACAACATCCCTAGAGGATTAGAAAAACTGACTGGATGCTCAGTGGAATTCAAGGTTCTGGTCCTTTAACCGCCAGACCTTCTAATTTCAAGACCTGTAGTACAACACAGATAATCCTCTTGCTCACTTTAAAATACAGTGGAGGAAATATGAACTTTGGAAGATGACTGCTGATGCATGTGTTCCACATCAGGTTACATTTACAATGACAGGAGTGAGCAACTCTGGCTAGATATGAACTGTTACTATAATTGAACTGCTGTATTGTCAAATTGGGAAAAAAAATAAAATCCCCGGATATTTGTGAACCAACAGCAGGGCACAGAAAAATTATTCATCATTGGCTGCCGCTCCAGTGGAACATTTCCAAAACAAGAAATAAGAAGGCTGCAACAGCTGGCCCAGAACAAGCACTATAGTTTTCATCAGCACAGAGCGGTGATTTTTTCAGCTATTTAGTCACGACTGCTGCCTGAAGCAATTCGGACATGCTGTCACTTGGTGCTGTCAC